GCCTAAGAAATATGAGTGAAGTGATCTAACTCCTGTTCCTCTAAGACATCTTCAGGATATTTTTGAACAGGAAAGCTGGTCCTCAGTGCAACTAAATAAGAATATAATGACTCCTGTTCTCCGTCGAGCCAGCAACAGTCCAATACAGTTTGAGTAATCTTTTTATTAGAGAACAAATAATTTTTTTTCACTGTCATCAAAATAAGTCTTACTTTTCAGTATTTCAAATTCTCCCTGGAGCCCTTTTTGAACATCTAATAATGTGCTTTGAAGGTGATTACACTACATTTTGTCCTTCCTCTGTTATATAGTATTCTAGCTATTCAGGCTAAACATCTCTGCTGTGAAGAGAAAATAGATTCAAACATCAAACACATTTATAAAATACAAAATTCACTAGGTTGTAAACAAGAATACAAAAATAGAAAAATGCTGTTTGAAGCAGGGTTGAAAATATAAAGCACAAAATGAATGAATGAGCCAATCCATAAGTATGAGATAAAGAAATAACATTCCTATTTTGTTAATCTTTACTTTTGTAATACTCATCATAAGCATATTTCTAAACTTGTAATGAAATTGTTCACAAAACAAAGATTTCTAATTTTGTGATCTTTTGATACATTTTTTTGAGCTCAATTTTTTTTTTAATATGAGTTCTGAAGAGATGGATGTTTTCACTCTAGCATGCAGAGGCCATAAGAAACTAAAGGCACTCACAATGGTCACAAAAGGAAAACAAGATAATTGTGGCATTTGGGAAAGTAGTGATGCTGTGGAAATTTTATGATGCTCATAAGAAAAAAATCTATCAAACAAAGGTCAGAAAAAAAACCCTGTTATGAGGAAAGTTCAGGTCAAATGAATGAGAATGATGATGAATGAAAGATTTGATCTAGCGGTGAAGGATGAACAAAGAATCTGGAACAAAGAAGCAAGAAAAACAAAGCCAGAATGTTAAATTTTTCTTGAACAAGGGAGGAATGCTGCCAAGCTAGCAGACAAATCCCCAAAACAGGAAGACTATGAAAAGTGGTAGTTTGAAAGAAAAGTGAAGAAAACAAACAGATGGAACATACCCACAGGGTTGCGACAAGAATGGAAAAGGAGTGAACATGGGAGAGAATGGATGTGCAGGAAAATGAAATCTATCGCCCTATTCCCCTGTTCACCATTTGAGGCTTTCTGTTCTCACATCCAGTCACCTGTTTGATTGTAAAGTCTTCTGGGAATTTGTTATATCTTAGATGGGATTCCTCATTCATTATGGGCTGTATTAACAAATAATGAAAATTAATAGTTGCTTTATCTTTTCTGGAAGACACTTGTCTATTTTATACAAACAAAGCAAATAAATTATTAGTCTTGTGTTTAAACTTCCCTTCATAAAGTATTGTGCTCATCTACAAAAGTATTGTATGACTTGACAAAGCTACCCAATGTAAAGCCTATAAATATATGTTTACTATAGCAGTGAGATTGCTTTAGCGCTAGTCACAGAAGAGTACTGTATTCTTTATTTAAAGTACAATATCTTTATAAAACCTCTGCCTGATTTGGGAACAAACAATACCCTTAGACCATCAAACCCTTACCAGCTATTCCAGCTCATTTGCTGGCCACTGACAAGGCAGAAAGAAAGTTATTAGATTATCACGTTATGAGATGACAGCAGAAAGTGACATAACTGTGTCATTATGAGTGTAGACATTCACAAGCTCCCATGTAAGTCTGCCAGTCCCAATTCAATAGACCTGAGCTTTTTTCTCTGCCAGGTTTTACATTACCCTGTTTCTTGACCTTTCCACTCCTAACATCTTTGCTCTTAATTGTTATCTTGAATCTCCACAAACTGCTTTGTGACCTCTTTCAATTTTATTCTCTTGTCCCTTCTTGTCCCTTGTCCCTATTTTACTTTCACTTTTTCTACAATTAATACTGATAAAACACTAATTTAAAATCAGACTGCTCAGTTTCTGGCAGAGTGCATGTTGTTACTGTAGAGTCATCTTTCTCTCTCATCTTTCTCTCGGCCTTTATCTCCTTCTCGCTCTCTCTTTCTCTCTTCCTTTCCTCCTGTCTTCCCTTTCTTTCATTTCTTTCATATAACAGCTCTATGTACAGCTATGTACTACTTGAGTTGAACAATTAGGAACAGTTAATAGCTGGGATATCCTTGAAGGCTAAAATGTAGTAATATTTGAAGTCACTGGCACTCTGCAGAGGAAAATGTAATCTATGTTTTTTAAAGACACTTTAATTGGTCAGCAATCATGCAGAACTAGAAAATATAGCTCTCCTTCCAAGATAATAACTCCTCAAATTGCAAAGGTCGCTTAATCAATATCCGTGTTATCTAGCAAAATATAGAATGACACCAAGACTCAAAAACTCAACTTTATGTTAATCTATTATTTAGTATGAGCTTTCAGATATTTTTGTAATATTTCACATAACCTGCTGTGTGCCACTGTCATTTAAAACATAAAGTCTTCATCTAGTTTTGTTGCTAAAAGAAAAAAGTTGTTCATATAGAGTCAAATAGCTCTAATTCAGCTAAAACTAAAATTAAATATGAATGGGAGTTCTATATTAGTAAATGGATGAGAAGCTTTAGCACAGAGCAAAGGTAGCAGTACTAATTACAATTAGCTTTCATTGACCCTTGCTGCTTTTTCTTGTAATTTTCCTCTCCTTATGTGTGATCATTCCATCAACTAAGAGTTCAGAGCTTTTATTATGTTAATTCTATTTAAATTATTCATATGTATTTGACATTTAAACATAATATTTATATGGTTTTCACGATGTTATTAAAAGGGCATCATCTAGCTAATGCATTGATTAAAAATTTCCCAGAAATTTGCGATGTCTTTCATATCTGAACCTATAATCGTATCTGAACTTCTGAGGGAGAAACTTTGGATCTCTGTAAACCTGTTTAAAACTTTCTCTCTGTGCAAACTACCTCAAAAAAAAAGTCAAGCATGAATGTATTATTTTTAACCCTTTTCCTTCCCCTCAGGACCTAAACATTGTATAGGTGCATACCTGAAGGCTCCATTCAAAGAGATTTTTAATGATGCTCAAATATCATCAGTACTTTTGAAGATTTTACTCAGACTAAACCTGGAACTACAGAATAATGCTCATTTTTTGGGAAAGAAACAAACAAATCATATCAATGCCAAATAGATACCATACCAGTGTCATAAAACAGAAGACTAAATTATGTTCAGTACCATGGACAAGTACTGCCCAAACTGTCCATAACAGCGACAACAACTTGCTCAAAAAACACCTTTCGTTACAAAAAACACAGACCAGCTCCTGCTCTTTTATAAGAAGATTATACAATCTAAATATTGCTAAATTCTTAAAACCTAATTTGTTGAAATCATCACAGTTCTAATTAAAAATAATGTGGCAAAAAGTATCAGCATCAGAAAATACAGGACTATGGAACTAGCGAGAACACATAACTGTTCCTTCTGCTAACTTGTCCCTTCCGTTTGTCACTACCAGAAGAAACAAAAACCAGAAAAACCCAGGAACCTAAAAAGCATATTAAAATCCCCAAAGCTCTTGTCACTCCTTTTTAGCAAAACTTGCCCTTACAAGTACTATGAAATATTTACAATGCACTATATTTATCTTCATTTGTTATATCACACTGAAGATAAAAGCTCTGTACAAAAAATGGTGGTGTAAGACAGTCCCTTTATCTTTTTCAATATTTTGTTATGTGCGTTTCCCAACTAAATTCCAATTGCATATAATAAATCAACTTTTTCATAATAGTTTAATAATATACTTTCATTTTGTTAAATTTAAAAGTTATACATGTTTCATAAACCTCAACAGTCCCAACAAGATGTGGAAATGTTTGACTAATAACATTATGGGCTTTGTCTTCATGAAAGTGAAAGGTTTGCCTTTTAATATCTGTAATTATCAAATAACTAGACAGTTTCTAATGAATTAACAAATTTTGAGTTTCATAGATGATACTCTACAGCTCAAAATCAAGAATAGGGCAAAAAATTTTCTTGCCAGATGAGTCAGCCTTCTAAATCCCTGTTATAATCGCAGACAAATGCATTTTACAACTTGGTGCACACAATCAGCTGGTAGAATATGACTCTGGTATCGGAGACTTTATAAAATAATACTATCTCCCATCTTTCCACCAAAATGCTTTGGGGTGTAATGCCAACAATGGCATCTTTTAACTCCTAATTCTCTGGAGGAATTTATATTGCCATTAAAATTATGGTTTAAGACATATGCTTGATCTGTCACATGTCTCACACTTCCTCAGATCATTTTCCAGAATCTGTGTCCGGTCAGTGTAGTCTGACATTTGTCATTTACAAGTTACAGGTCCATCAAAATCAAGTAAGCTTATCCAATGTCTTAAACAACATCAGGAATAATTTTTGTGAAGATTAAGGTATTTATACCTGTTTTATTTTCATGAAAACAAATCACTTGGAAATACCAAACTCAATATCCAAGTCTACATCAATACATCACTTCAAAGAAAACAGCAGACCTTTATGTATGACCAAGTTAAAGGACTGCACTTGGGTTCTCCTTATAATTGTCACTACTTCAGCAACACTGTCCTGTCAGCAAAGACATTACTCCATTAAAAATCCACTGATAACTCACAGATATTCATAAAATATTCTAACATCACTATCCAAAACCAAATAAAATGTTAGAGAAAACTGCAAAGAACCCAAAGAGTTTCAAGGTATTTTTGTTTTGTTTTGTTGTTTGCTTTTTCAGTTTATCTGCAATTTTGGGGTTTGGGTTAACACTTTTAATTCACTTGTATGTGTAAAACACTTAGAAAGAAATGATGAGGCATATTCATAAAGTTCTGTAACAAAAAGCACAGGTTTTTTCTATTAACATTTTTTTTAAATTGAGTATTTTCTATTCATGCCAACACACTTGTTGAAATGTTGGCTGTAACCAAACACCAGCTGCACTTACCCCAGTGTTGTCATGGTGACAATGGTGTACCAGAAGGCTGCAGGGATGCTGGTGAACTTGCTGGCTGATGAACCCTTCTCTGCATAGTACATGACTGTGGCAAAGATGATGATGGCCATAGTGAGTGAGAACAGGAGGAAGCCTAACTCCGAGGCACAACTTTTCAGTGTATAGCCCAGGATGCGCAGCCCCTGTGAGTGGCGGGAAAACTTAAAGATCCTGAAGACACGAAAGACTCGTAGTGTCACAAAAGCCCCACTGACATCCTCATTGTCTGTCATCACCAGGCCAATGTAATACGGCATGATGGCAACCACATCAATGATACTCATGACACTGCGCACAAATTTGTAGCGACTAGGGGCTGCCAGCAGACGTAGGAGATATTCGACCGTGAAGATCATGACACAGGCAGTATCCAGACAGAAGAAAGCCACAGCATAGCGCTCTCCACAGGGCAGCTCCTTGATGCGACCTGGGCTTACCCCGCACGGCACTGTTTCCACCACATTGGCAATGACAGAGACAGCAATGAAGAAACCAGTGACATAGTAGAAGACCAGAGCCAGTGTACTGGTGTGTGGGTTTTCAAAGGCCCGCCACATCCTCTGCCGAGCTGTCATTGAGGGCAAGGAGCTCTCAGCTGCATGATCCTGATCAGCGTCATCCTGCAGGCGCTCAGCATTCTCACGCCGGCGGTCCTTGTACTCCTCATAACAGCAGTCACCAATGATCTCAGGGATGATGCCAAAGAAGGCCAGTTCCTCATCGTAAGCTGAGATGCACTCCTGGCGGGGATAATGAAGCTTCCCAGTGCGGTAGAAGTTGAGAATGTGGCGGAAAATGTCAGGGTCCCGATCAAAAAAGTACTGCTGTGTCTCAGGGTGGTAGAAGAAGTCCCGCTCCGAACTGCCCAACAGAGTGTCAGGGTAGCGCTCTAAGGTGTCCAGCCATGTCTGGAACTGGATGCCACTCACATTCAGCACAATCAGAGAGTCCTGGCTTCGCTTCCTCTCCTGCCGCGGAGCAGCTGGCATGGGACCTGTGGCTACTGGCATCCATCCTATGGCCGCTGCCCTGGCAAAGGGTAACCAAGCTGCTACTCCTGCTGCCATGGTCCCAAGCAACTACTACAGCTAAGGCAGTCAATCTAGAGACAGTTCTGGTCCAGCCACTACAACAGAGATGGAAAAGAAAAGCACAAATGCTCATATATTTTTGAGGCAACAGAATTACTGAACATTGTTGTGATTTTCAGTATTAACCAAAAATCTTTTTGCTTCCTTTTTGTTTCCTCCCCTTTTTCATCCCAAAACATCCTTTCCAGGGGCTGGTTAGCCAGTTAGGACAATAAATCAGGGCACTTGGAAATCAATGTATTCAAAGCAGCTACTCTAGCAGCCAGATCCTTTGGAAACAAGGTCCGCACGAGTCCCCTGAATGGAAGACACGGTCCACAACACGCTAACCTTACGAGCCCGCTAGCATCTCTGCTGAAGCGGTGCAGCCACCTGGAAGGAGATTTTCTTCCACGCTCGATGCAGTCAGTCCTCCCGCCCGTCCTCCTCTCCCCGCC